GGGAAAAAAGGAGAAACATGTAATACTCTTTGTAATAATTTAAGCAATAAAAATATATATTTAAAAAAAAAAAAAAGAAGAAAAGCCATAAAAATCGTAATAAAAAAAAAAAAAAAAAAAAACCACTGGACTAGGGAAAGGCAGCTGTGGACCCCTGTGGGCCAGTCCAGCCCAGAACCCTGTCCTGCCCCTGGAAGGCCATGGAGTTGGGAAAGGAATTCACTTTTCTTTTTTTTTTTAAAACAGGGCTGAAAGAATTAGGATCCCTGAACCTTGGATCACACCTCCAGATCTGCAAGAGAAAATCGATATTTTTTGCCCAAAAATGTCTGTTTCTGACGGAGAGTCTGAAGCAGTTCACAGGAGATGTGAAGCGGCCTGCGAGGGGAGGGTGCCCTGGGTACCTGTTACCTGGCAGGTCCCTTTTCCAGCCCGGGAGTGGGATGCAAACTGGTTATCTTCTTTTTCCCCTTAGGAACAATGCAGTCAGACATGGAGAAGACCCGAGGGAAGTTTTCCACCTACTGGGCGTTGACGTGAAGTTTCCTGGGAAAATGAACACCTGCACTGAAAGTGTGGGGAAATGGGGCAGGGGCGATAGATACTCACTGGCCAGCCAGCCGGCCTGATATTTATACCTTCCTTTTTGCTTTAATTTTTTTCAATTATTATCCTCTTGTTTGACTTTGAAGTCTTTTAACAATATTCACGTAGTTCCCAATCTATACAGATGGAGGAGAAAAATAGGCAATCCAAAATTAATCCAGAATTAGTGTGATTGGTTTTATTTTTATTCTTGAATTGGGAAAGAAGTGAACAGAAACGATCCACGTTTCACCTGGCCCGGTAGTTGTAATTTAGAGCCTACTGCCGTGGGCCTAGCTGCGGGCCAGTGCTGGGCAGCACCTCGAGGGAAGTGGTGAGCAGTGAGTCAGAGGTGGTGGTGCCTGGGCCCTGGCCCCCTGCTGCCTTGAGGATCTGCACCCACCGTGTGGGCATAGCTCAGAGGTATTGCAGGTTCCAGTCCCCCACAGGACAGTGGGGCACACGAGGGTTTTGGCTTCCCAGTGCATACGGAAGTTATTTTACATGGTACTGTCTATGAAATGTATAATCACATTATGTCTAAAACACAAAGCAAAACAAAACCATTGTATATACCTTACTTAATTTACAAATGTTTTATTGTTAAATAATGCTCACCATCGTCCAGCGGTGTGGATCAGTGGTTGAGCATCTACCTCAGGGAGTCAGTTCAAATCTCGGTCAGGGTACATGCCCAGGTTGGGGCTCAACCCCCAATGGGGGTGCAGGAGGCAGCTGATCAGTGATTCTCATCATTGATGTTTCTATCTCTCCCTCTCCCTTCCTCTATGAAATCAATAAAATATATGTATTTTTTAAAAATACCATCATCTGAGCCCTCAGGCAGTTGTAATCCTTTTGCTGGTAGAGGGTCTTACCTTCAGTTTGTAGAGAAGCCACAATATCTGCAAAGCGCAGTAAATCAAACTGTGTTTGTAATTTCCTCATCTGTAAGGAAAACAATAGTTCTTGCCTCACAAAGTTGTAAAGATTAAATTAGATCGCCATTTCTAAAACCTTTAGAATGAAGCCTGACTCATAATAAACCCTATATTTATGTTTATTAGATAAAATAAAGTGTTCTAGATATTTAAGGAAAACTTTCAAGATAAAATTTTTCCTCACATTCAGTTAGGAGCTGGCTATATATGCA